GAAAGAGTTAAATAAATATGTAGACCATTAAAATTATTTGCATTATGACAATTTCAAGACTATTATGCACGTCTTTGCCCCAATTTCTCATTACCATACCGGATCCAGAAGTTTTTTGTTTTTTTGTGACCATATTTTATTAAAATTACATCTGCATACATTAAAAGGAGGTACAACAAATATTAAAATGCATAAATACTTTATAAGTTTTTTTTTTCAAGTTACAGTAATGAGAATGAGATAACTTGCATTACCTATCTGCACTATCTATACCATTTTCTCTTGCACAGCAGAAACATGGTCATCATTAAAGGCAGAACAACACATATTAAAATGCATAAATAATTAGAACTATTTTTGTCATGTTACACTAATTAAATTGAGATCATCTGCATTATGTTAATGCGAAATGGGAGTGAATGTACTTAATTGTCATAAGAATAATGTCACAACGCAAAAAAATTCTTTCACTTGACTTTGGGGTGAATCATAACCCAGGCATGTTCTTGGTTTTGAAAGATTTACCCATTTAGATGTGTTATGCAATTTGGCATTATATGTGTTTTACATGTCTATTTGTGCATTCACAGGTTCCCTTTTAGCAAGCTTCTCAGGCTTAAAGAAAACAGAGATGCTTCTATTTCACCTTCTGAGGGTGAAGATGCTTCTAAGACTCATGGAAATGGGGCCGGGACGCCACAAGGTTGGATAATCCTTTCCTTTCTGTTCCTAACCCAGAACGCCCGCACATTTACAGCTGTGCCAGTAAGAAGATTTTCACATGCTATAAACCAGAAAATCTTAATAAGTTATAAGAACATTAACTAGGTTGACTGGTTTCACCCCTCTGAATAAGATCAGACAGGCCTTACTTCAAAAAACTAGTTGGAAATGTGAGGGGTGCAAAAGTCATCAACTTGATACTAGTGTTGCCAAAGTGTTAAAGGGGTCATATGATGCGATTTCAATTTTTCCTTTCTCTTTGGAGTGTTTGTTACAAGCTCTTGCTGCATAAAGAAGATCTGTAAAGTTGCAAAGACTAAAGTCTCAAATCCAAAGAGATATTCTTTATAAAAGTTAAGAGTCAGCCACACCTACCTAAAACGGCTCGTTCTAACACGCCCCCCCACCTACCTACGTCACTATCTGGGAAGATTTGCATAACGCCGCCCAAATGTTTATGCAAAGTAAGAAGGCATAACTTTTATTCTCGCTGTAGTATTGTTGCCACCGCCGCCATGTCGTGAAGGCACTGTGTGCTTCGTTGTGAAAGCGAAACTACTTTGTTTGGCCTTCCAAAAAAGGACGATATAGCTTCATCATGCCTGGAGCTGATCTGTGCTGGTCGCTGAGGAAATACATCAACTTCGCACTGTGGATCGCCGGATCGGCTTTCACCGTGGACGAAGCGGAGTCCAGCCCGGGTTTGTCATATGTGGTTGCCGCAGGCATCACAATACGGTAAGGGACGTAACATTTCCGTCACACGCTTGAGGAATTCGGCCAATCACAGTGCACTGGATAGCTGGCCAATCAGAGCACACCTCGCTTTTTCAGAATGATGAGCTTTGTAAAAATCGACGCGTTTCAGAAAGGCGGGGCATAGAGGAGAAACAATAATGTACAGTATGTGGAAAATAATGTGTTTTTTGAACCTTAAACCGCATAAACATTTCATTACACCAAATACACAAAATAATGTTCTTTTTAGCAGCATCATATGACCCCTTTAATAAACCATTGCTAAGGGGTTACGAATGGTTTAGCCAATGATAATTGCCTCAGCAATTCAGCAAATGCCACTAACAATAAATTAACCACCTTAAATTGTAATGACTTTAAAACAGTGATTTTCCACCCTCATATGGGCATGTTCTTGATGTGCCTTGCAAAAACTAAAAAAGTGAAAGTGAAAGTGA